CGGATCTGGGAACCAAGGTGCCGTGCTCAGGATCCCGCCTACGTGCTTTGTTGTGCATGCATGACTTTGTGTACTGTGCGGGTGACTGCATAGAGGAGGTAGGCCGTGCAGAGCATGATGCGTTGTTGGAGCAGTTGCAGCGTGAGCGTGAAACACAGAGGGTTCGCAGACTTGTGTGTAAGACGCTAAAGAGCAACGGGATGCAGAGCTTCAACGCTGCAATGATGGTGATGATGCTATCGCTTGTGCAAGGTGCCGAGAGCAGTGGTACCAGGCGTGAGGTCGGTGTGCAGACCGATGATGATGCACGGTGGGCGCAGTCGCTGGCCGTCTTGGTGATTTGCACATGTGCTATCCTTCTTGCCTTGAAATCTTTGAGCCTTGGGCGGCTATGGACCACAGAGGGCAATGAAGATGACATCACCTTGAACGTGAGCAGTGCCAGCACTTCCACCGAAGAAGTGTACGAGCAGGAAACCGGTTGGTGGAATTGGGTTCCATTGACTTTCACCTGCAGCCTTTCAGCGTTCTGCCTGGCAATCATGATGTGCCTGCGACGGGTGCGAGCCGCACTACATGCCGCTGAGCAGGAGAACGAGCGCTTGAGCAGATTGATCGCTGAAATGAACTACGACCGTATCGCTTGGGGAGAATACCACGAGGCGAAAGATCGAACAAGAGAGAGAACGCTGCCAACGCCAGAGCCGAACCGTGCTATCTTCATAGATGGCGATGCCGCACGGGGTTCCAACGATGTGATCCAGCATGTGCCTGAGTTGCATGTTTATTGCACTTTGAGACGAGGCAAGTCGTACCACAAAAGCAGGAATTGCACTTGTCTTAACAATGCTGATGAGATCGTGAAGCTTGGAATCGCCACAGCCCGTGAGCGAGGTTACAAGCCGTGCGGAAGTTGCTTTGGTGGCAGCAAGAAACAAAAGTGATGATCCTTGGATTGCGTGTCTTGAATGCTCATGATGCTGATGCATTGGTCATCTGTACATAGTCAGTGGCACTACCTTTGTGTGTGTGTCATTGACGACCAGCGACGACTGTACATAGTCTTGTGTGTGTTTGAGCAGAAACTGACAGGACTTTGGAAACAGCATTTTGCTGTCAATCTTGATTCACTTACCAACACCTTTGGCAGCTGTGGAGCAGCTGCGAGTCCGAATGAGTAGGCTCACGAGCCACTCGATGCAATTAGGCATCGCAATCCTTGTGCTGATTCCTTAGGAATCATGCTTTGTCGCAGTGGGGCAGCCCAGGGCTGCATGGAGCCCACTTGAACCGCCTACGCTTGGGTGAGTCAAGCTTGCATTTCGTCATAGGCTGTCCAAGCCTTTGATGGAGTGCGCGTAGTGTATAGACGACTTTAGATCGTAGCTACGCTGACTTGTTGAGCCGTGTATTGTAGTCAGAAGTGGTCGCTACTGTGATGTATCGTACGCTGTATGTTGATGCGAACATCTTCCAGTCTAAGTCACTGGGGATGTCCGGGCGGGGTGATCAACATTTTCCCCTGTGCCCTGTACTCTTATTTTGCTAGAACAGTTCTGTAGCTTTTGACCACTCGTGTAGTTTTCTACTTTGATCATGCGAAGCATGTACGATCGACGTAACATTCAGGCTCAGAGTACTTGCAAAAGTCCGAAGTTTGTTCAGCTTCTGCGAAGCGTGTGCGAGAAAATCCCATTTGTTTGGCTCAAGTCTGGCTCGAGCCCTGCTTTCAGAGGTGGGTGTTCTGCGTAGGGAGCGTAGCTGTTTTCAACTGAGCCTCTGGGCCTTAACTGTCGTTGGGGCAACAGGACTCAAACAGGAATCCCAGCTTATCCTTTCGCGAGCCATACTTGTGCAGTGCTGGCATTTTGCCAGTCACTTTCCAGCGTGCAGGTGCCGGCCCTCGCCTCCAGGGCTGAGGGCTGTTCACTCGCCTCAGGGGCTGAGAGAACAGTCATGGCAGGAGGTAGGTACTATGTGTGCAAAACCTGTGGTCCTGCAAGCTGGATTTATGCCTCTAAAGTGCAGAAGTTTGCGAAGTGCAGTTGGTGTGGCAAGCCTTGGCCCGCTGATGTACCGCAGGCACCTTGGAGAGAACCTAGCAGGCCGCGACCTCGAACTCGGCAGCCGAAGCCAGCTAAGCTAGCAAGCTGCCTTCAGAAGGTGTGGTCCACCTTGCCTGCAGATGTGTGTTTGCAGTTTGAGCAGGCTGGCTTTAAAGTGCCGGCCCCGAAGCAGGAAGATGTTGACCTACTCAGCCTTTTGCAGCGCAACCGTGATGATCTCCCCCAGGAAGTCCTGGATGCTCTGCCAGCAGCACCGGTCCCTAACCCAGTGCAGGAAGGCAAGGCTGCAGGTGTTGAGTGGCGCAACTCGTCGGTAAGTTGCGCGACCTTGGCCAGCGTAAGTTGAAGCTGCAAGAAGACATTGACCTGGCCAAGGCCAATCTGAGGGCCCTGCTGACAAAGATGCAGGACTTGCAAGCTTCCATCCAGGAAGCACAGACTGAGGTCAACAAAGCCACTCAGGAGTATGAAACCAAGGTTCTCACGCAGTGCAATGAAGAGGCCAACCATGGAGTCGAGTCTGTGTTGCAGGCCCTGGGGATTCAGGAAGAGGCCCTTACGGAGGCCCAAAAGCGCAGTCTCGAAGCTCTCAAGAAGGAAAACGCAGACGAGGCCAAGCGCCGCAAGACCCAGCAGCAGGAGCAATTCCCGCCGGGATTGGCTCCTCAGTTGCGCTCGGCGGCCCATGTCACTGAGGCCAACAAGGAAGCCGAAGATGCCAAAGGGCCGCCCAGCCAGCCAGTCAAGGAGCGCAGCCGGTCGCCCAAGCGTGCAGGCGAAAAATCCGATGATATTTAGGGTATCGGTGGGGGGTTGCGCCAGGGTTCTGGGTTTTGTCTTCCGGTTCTTTCTCTGAGTGAGGTTTTGCGTGACTTGGAAGTTTCGGAGCCTAGCGCAAGCCCTGACGCGTCACCTGTGCCCTATTTCAAGTGCTGGTACTGTGGCCTCCCGTTCGTGCCAACAGCCGTGGGAGTCCAGATTTGCAGCTGCAGTGCCGGAATCCATGTTCGATCTTCACCAACTGAGGCTCGGGCCAGCATTTGTCGTGCTGACGTGAGCCTGGTCGGAGCCTCACCTCAGGGTTCGAGGCTCCTGCCGACTCTGTCTGACCAGCCAGAGCAGCTAGCTGAGGGGTTTGCTTATCCCAAGGTTGTGGGACGACCCGTGTGCCCCCCCTCTAGCTGCCCACTGACTGGACCCAAGTTTTTCCACTCTGCCATTTTCTCTGAGCCAGCTGACTGCAAGCCACATGAACCATGGGACCGCAAGAAACCTTTGTTGTGTCGTGGACCGATCATGCCCTTTTTGGAACGGCACGGTTCCCACTATGATTCTGCAATCCAGTCAACAGGGTCGGCCGAATTGTCCGTTAACCCTTCAAATTCCACAATTCCGCCGATCCACTCAACAGGGTCGGCCGAATTGTCCGTTAAATACTCAAAATCCACAATTCCGCCGAGCCCATTTGAGGTGTTCCAGGGTGAGCCAGGGTCTAGTCCACCCAGCTGGGGCTGCATGCTAAACTTGAGTGCATATAAAGCTTTGCATCCTGCCTGGAACCAGGAGCCTGACCTTTTGCACCTCGCCGAAGGGCTTGAGGAGCAATGCCAGGAGGGCACCTTGGAACACTGGGTCCTTTTTAAGTCTTTGGAGGCCACTGAGATTCAGGATCACAGCCTTGAGACCTGGGCCCGCATCGCTCGTGCTTCTGAGGACTTAGTTCACTCTTTTTCCTCGGGTCAGCCTCGTACTTTCAAGTTTGTCTCGGCAAATGTGACTTCCTGGAGACCTGAACTTAGGCAGTGGCTGGTCTTTCACCAGTTTGATGTGGCCTTGATTCAGGAGCACCACCTTTCGGAGAGGGCCTTTCATGCTGAAACGGTGGCCCTCGCCAAGGCAGGCTACCATGTCCATGGCCAGCATTCCCCTGTTCGCAAGCGGGAGATTGGGGGTGTGATGGTGTGTGTTAAGTCGCATTTGCAGGCCAGACACGTTCACACCTTTCAGGATCCTGAAACGGGCTGTGGTTTCGTAGCTGTCGCTATTCGGGTGACGGGTTTCGACTTAGCCCTCTTGTCGCTGTATCTTGAGTCAGGCAGCACTTTTGAAGGCCGGGCCAATACCTTGGTCCTGTCCAATATGTATGCAGTGATTGCCTCGCTCAAGTGCCCGTGGTGCGTGGTTGGAGACTGGAACCTAGATGCTTGTGAGGTCCTCGCCACCAGGCTTGAGGACCTCACAAAGGGTCGGTTACTTGGTACTGGGATGCCTACTGCAGGCACCGCAGCCGAGCTGGACTATGCACTGGTCCACCCCCTCGCATCTTTCGCTTGAGCTTGCCTGGGATGTTCCCTTTAAGCCCCATGCGGCGCTTAAGTGCACCCTTCCTCTAAAGTCTTTGCAGGACCTCCAGCCAAATTTGCGCTCCATCACTGACTCCTTTGACCCTATTCTTGACGACCAGCGCAATTTGCAACCCCCGGTTGTGTCACCGCAGAGGGTCACCCTCCTGGAAATCGAGGCTTGTGACCCCGCCTCCCTCGCCTTTGCGGAGTTTTCTGCCACCGCTGAGGCCTCAGGTTTACTCGGTAGGACCATGGGCAGGGGGGTAAACTTGCCGACGATTCGTCAGCCGGCCGTGTCGCAACCCCCCAATGACTACCAGTGGTTTGGTCACGAGCACTCTGTCTGGTCCCAGCTCGCAGGCCGGTTCAAGGCTGGGGGCCGCCCAATGAAACCCTTTCCCTGCTCTCCAAGCTCGGCCCTGAGCATCATCAATGGGCAGACGAAGCCCGGGACACTGTTTCAAATCATCGTGACCTCGCGGCCCTGAGGTCCCATGCTGAGGCGCAGGCCAAGCTTGCTAAGACCGCTCAGCAGGGAGCGCAGGCGGAGTCATATCAACAATGGCTGTTTGGAGCCCTGTCGGCTGGCATGGGGCCGGTGTATCGTGCTCTTAAAAGCCACGAACAGACTCTCGCCCGGCCCTTTCGGGACCAGTCGGCCCTTGCCCGGGCTTACTGTCGCATGGAGTTCTGGAGCCGCATCTGGGATGCGTCAATTGTGCCGCCGCAGCCTCACCTGTCTGCAGAGCGCCTCGCCTTAAGGGCTGAGGCCCTGCAGCAGGCGCAGGATCTGTCACCGCTATCTTGGGAGCAGGTCAAGACAGCGTGCCTGGCCACGGGCAACAAGAAGGGAGGCCTTGATGGTTGGTCGTACAAGGCTCTGCGTAACCTCCCTGACTTCTGCTACCGACAGCTTGCGGGGCTCTTTCGTCTTGCTGAGACGGACCTTACTTTGCCGCTTCAAATGCTTACGGTGCAGGTCGCCCTTCTTGCAAAAACCCCAGAAAAAGAGCGCCCCATATCTCTCACATCGGTCCTTTGGCGAGTGTACAGCAAGCTGCGACGCCCGCTCCTGGAGAGCTGGTTAAAGGAGTACGCGGCCTTTGCCCCTTTCGACTCCGCCACCCCAGGACACACTTCCCTTGACCCAGCACTTTCTCGCTTGATCAAGGCAGAAGATCATAAGTTTCGCAACGTTACTTTCATAACTTTGTTCGTTGATCTTGAAGGTTTCTATGATGGGGTAGATTTTTCTCGACTGATATCACAGGGCAAAGCTTTGTCATTTCCACCCTTGCTTTTGGAACTTAGTCTTCAGCTTTACAATGGGCCTCGTTGTCTCCATGGCGAGGGGGTCAGCACTGTTGCTTTGTGGCCCCAGAGGGGCATCCTTCAGGGGTGCCCGTACGCACCCACGGTTGCAAAACTCACCACTCATGCTCCGCTGCAGGGCATCTCCCAGCACCGTGGGGTCAGCCATGCTGATTTATGGCTTGATGACATCAGTGTCGATGTGTCTCATGCTGACCCGGAGGTTGCGGCCTCTTTGGCCCTGTCGGCATCCAGGAAATTGGAGGCCCTGCTTTCCGTTGAGAAGCTTCGCATTAACAAAACCAAAACCAAGTTTGTTGTCAATAGTGCCAAGGCGGCCAAAGCACTCAACAGTATGCGTGTTGAAGGCGATCCTCAGGTTGCTGACTTGGTCCGGGACCTTGGACTTGACTCGGCAGGTGCCAAGCGCAGAAGGGTTACGCATGCTTTGAAACGCTTCAAGGTCGGCCGCGCCCGAAACCAGAAACTTCACCAACTCGGCACAGGCTGCAAAGCCCACAGGTTGTATGCCACTTCCATTCTTACGGCCGAGATCTATGGTTGCCAGGGACAGGGCTTGTCCCCCAAAAGGCTCAAGGTCGTTCGCGCATCCATCTCCAGGCATGTTGGGCGGTCCAAGTGGGGCTCTGTCGACGTGTCTCTGGACTGTATGTCCTTTCGTTGCCAAGACCCATTGTTGACAGTTGTCCTTGCGCAGGCTGATGCTTTGTATAAAATGTTCGGCCCCTCCACGGCACAAGGCTGGGAAATCCTAGCCCGCACCTGGAAGGTGGCCTGGACTCGCCAAGAGGCGGCCGTGCATGGATGGAAGTGTGTTGCAGGCCCGGTTGCTGCTATGGTGCAGTATTGTATTGATTTGCGCATCAATGTCAGTGATCCTCTGCGCTGGGTTCATAGCAGCGGGGTTCTTCTGCTTGATGTCACCAACCCTGGCCTTTTCCTGTCAGTTCGCCGCTTTCTCACTCAGGTTGTTGCCCTTGAAAGGGCTTCCCGCTTTGGTGCAGTCCTCACGGCCCAAGGTGCCCAGCAAGGAGTTGACTGGTCAGTCCACCGAAAGCTCTTGAAGGTTTCCAAGCTTTCATCCCCGCGATGGGCCTTTCACGCCGTGTGGCAAGGACGCACCTTGCACGCTGGGAACGGGGGGTTTTCGCATTGCGCATGCGGGGCTGAGAATACCCTGCACCATGTCTACTATGAGTGCCCGCTTGCGCCTGCTAAGTTAAGCCCGGCCCTCCGTAGTTTTCAGCGCAAACACCCAGACCCCTGCTTCTGGCTACGAGGAATGGTCCCAAAGGCTTGGACGACCCCGCAAAGGCTTGGACGACCCCGCAGGTATCGGCCTCAGCTTTGGAAACCAGGGTGACAGGGCTGTTTTGTCATCAGCCGGTTGATGTCACTGGGCTCCTCATAGGTACTGATGCTAGCGGAGGTCCCAATACCCACGACCCTCGCCTTAGGGCTGTAGGGTGGTCGGTCGTGCTTTGCGAACTCCGCGCTGATGGCCTTATTGAGCACGGGACCATCTCAGGCCTTCTTCCGCCGGGCAGCACGGTGCCTCAGGGGGAGTCCCTCGCAATCATTGAAGCCCTCAAGGCCACCACTGGCAGCTTTGACCTCACAGGTGATTGCAAGCCGGCTCTCAAAGCCCTGGCTGCCAGAGCTCTCAACAAAAAACATATCCCTGAATGGGGTCCAGTCTGGCAGGAGCGAGCAAGGGCTCAACCGCACTGGGTTAGGAGCCACTGCACGGCTGAGGCCTTTGAGGCTGAATTCCCTGGTCAGCTTTGGCGCCGCGAGCTCAATGCCAAAGCAGACACTCTCGCAGGGAGCCGAGCTGCTGCTGCATGCACCCCGCATTTTGTACGCAAAGTAAAGGAACTCGACCTGGTAACCCGGGAACTCAACTGTTTTCTCGCCTCCAGGGCTGAGAAGCTGATCAAGGAAAAAGCCCAGGGTTTTGTTCCCCGCTCCGCTAGAGATTCCTTAAGCCAGTTTGACAAGCCTCGGTCGCAAGCTGCAGCTGTGTCTACAAGCACTAAAGTTCCGCCGCCTAACAAAAAACAGCGCCTGAAGCAGTTGCTGGACTCCCCTGGTCCAGCACTTGGTCATGATTGGAAAGCCCGCGAGACTAAGGCCGCCAACAACTTCTCGGTTTATTGCGAAAAATGCAATTTATATATTGAACAATGTCATTCGCTTGATGTTTTCAATCGAAAAATTACACACCCGTGCCGTGGTGTTGCTGCAGCTGTGCCGCCCAGTTGGAAAATACACCCCAGCCATGACATGCATAATCGAGGATCTCACTTTTTGTGTGCCAAGTGTTTGGCCTGCGTAAAACTTGGCGCGGTCTCGCCCTCGTCCCTTCTTCAGTCTGCATGTAAAGGCTTAGGGCGTAAAGTAAACAGTGGCACCAAGGCTTGCGCCTTGGCACAGGTTGGTGGAGTCTCCACCCGATCTATTGCCAGTGCTTTTCAATCTGCCAGCACCTTCGGTGCCGGCCCTATGCCAGAGCGTGTTTCTGCAGTTCCTAAGCTTGGCCTTTTGAGCGCTGCCCAGGTCAACCCTCCAGCTGGGCCCGTCGCCTCCTCTGCAGCGGCTGCCCCAAGGTTGCCGGAGTGCCAAGGCGAGGTCACTCAGTCCACAGGAGTGCAAGGAGCAGTTGGTCAGTCCGTTTCTGTAGGTTTGCGATCTCAGTTAGGCTTGCCAGCAGCTGTTCCGCCAGTGAAGCCCAAGGCCCCAGCTAGACCCAAACCCAAAACAAAACCGAAGGCTGACCCAACACAGCGCACCCTTCGCTTTTAGGCCCAAGGCCTGCTAAGCATGGCGCCCAAGCAAGAAGGGCGGCACATATCCACGCAACTCCGCCGTGAGGAGCGGGGATTATCATGGAAATCAGCGGCGACGATAGACCGACAGCGGGGACGTAAGAAAGCCCGCAAACAGAAGAAGCGCCGCGAACAATATGAGCACGCTGGCAGGAGAACTGAGGAGGCTTGGCCGCCCCCACCACCTCCACCAGGACCTCGTTCGGATCAGGGCTGAGGGCTCCCTCCACTGCGGCCAGGGCCCAGCACGGGAGGAGCCCTCGCCTTTAGGGCTGAGGGCTCCACCCCCTACTGCTGCTGCATCCAGCAGCCAAGGCTTACCTTTGCAACGACTTCCAGAAGCTGAAGAGCCACCGGTGGACCAGGACGACTCCAGCAACTGTCTTCAATCTGACAGCAGTGAGACACCACAGCCTGCAGTCGCGCTGAAAGATCGCCCAAGTGACTTTGGCCCTCTTCTTCATGAGGATGGCCTAATCACTTTCTTATGTGCAGCTGCGCCCCAGGTGAAGCATCCGGTGAACCACTACCAGTGCCTTCCGGAAAGCCTTGAAGTTTACCATGACTTTGTCACTGGTGGGCGAACAAAAGCTGCTCGAGCGAGACGGCTGGGTTTCGGAAAGTCCCGGACAGTTTACGTTGACCCTGGCTCCTCGGAACACGTTCTGAAGTTGGCGCCTCCACAAGGCCACGGGCCAGAACCGGAAGCTTGGAGACTGCTCCCTCATATAGTGCCGTGCACTTTGGATGCGGGTATTCACCTGCTCACGCTTTCTTGGAAGAGCTGCTATGATATCATCTCCACGCATGTTTTGAGGCAGTCTAGGCTCACTCCACTTTCGGTGTGGAGGCCAGCTCCGCCGGACCTTGATATGGTCCGCTACATGATGGCACTGACTGCGGAGGCCTCCCGTTTCTACAATCTCAAGGATCTTGGCTTTTTCAACTTTGGTGTTGATGCCCGTGGCTTCATTATGATGTGGGACACCGCAGACTGGCTTCCATGGGAGGGTCAAAGGGCACACTGGCCGAACAGACAGCGTGCCTCGGCTTTCTGGAGCGCGGTCAAGAGGAGTGTTCCAGACCACTTTCAGGAGCTACTCCAGCTTGTCAGCAACGCCTCGCCTGAGGAGGTGCTGCAACGGCTACGACCACTCCTTACGCAGCACTACAAGTGGTGCCTGCTACAGCAGGGAGTTTTCCTTGGTGACTAGCCTACTAGGTGAGTCAAGCTGCCCTGGCCGTCGAGTGGAAGGCCGCCTGAACTTTTGCTTTTCACTGCCTCCTGGGCCCTCGCCTTAGGGCTGAGGGCCCGAGGCTGTGGCAGGGTGCAGCTCAGCCTGGGCACTGACCTGGACCAAAGGTCCCGCAGCAGGCCGTGACAGCCTTGTTGCTCTGCAAAATGGTTTTCAAGCACTGTATTTCAGCATCGCCTCTGCTTCGTAGCCTGCCTGCTTCCGCTTCTCCGTGCTCTGGCAGGCTTGCGGTGCCCAGGAGCCCCGTTTTCTGCAGGATCCTCGGTCCGGTCAGCCCGAGTGTCCAGCCTTTGCTTTGAGCCTTTGCTTTGAGAGCTAGTTGGCAGGTGATCAATCTCTTCAGGTGTGTCTTTAAGGAGCAGGAGATCTGACAGCAGGAACACGAAAGCTTTTGCCGCTTCGCTGTTTCGTACAGGACCACGCCTCGCCAGCTGGGCTGAGGCTTGCGGTGCCCAGGAGCCCCGTTTTCTGACCACGCCTCGCCAGCTGGGCTGAGGCTCGTACTCTTGAAGCTTGTGCAGGGCCAGTACAGGGTACGTGTAGTCAACAGGGGGGGGGGGGGCCTTCCGTGCAAGAGTGTGCAGTGTGTGCAGGTGTGTACCCTGCTGCCCATCCCTCTGTTTGCACTGCAACAGTGTAAACCTGCTTGACACACCTGTTTTGCAGCTACTTTGGTTTGCAGCTGCACGGTCTCCTTTTCTTCTTGGCCGCCAACTGAGCTAAGTGAGTTAGTTATGAAGGTCGCTCAACCGCTACCTCGCCCAATGGGGCCTGAGGTTACTTGAGCCAGACACCTTCCTGTACAGTCTTCCGATTTTGAATAGGGCTTTGAGGCTACTGGTTGTACTGGAGCCTTCAAGGCGTACTCGCTTAGCCCTGGCTTTGCTACAGCCAGTTTTAATTACTGCATGCTTCAGGGTTTCTTCGGACAGGCCTCTGGCCGTGGACTTCTCGCGCCACCGGAATGAAAATCCCATTTGACCTTGGATGTCCTGATGTTTTCGGCATGCCTGAAGCTGTGAGGAGTGTTTTTGAGTTAGGAAGTGACTGCACGTTCGTTGCGTCTCGTTTCGTTAGTGCTTGAAGTGTTTTGCTTGGAGACAGACAGCTGCAAGGTGTTTCACTGTCAGTCAGAGCCCGACGCGACTCCGCTTTGGCTCAAGAAAAAGACCGAGTGCTGCGCGCTCTGTTTTTCACATTTTTGCCCACTCCCGCGCTTGCTAGGACTCAATCAGCCCTGGCACTCTAGGGGGTTACCGAAACATGCTGCGTCTTCGCTTGAACTCATTGCTTCTGCACGGCGGCATCTCTGCAAGCTTGGTGCAAGGATGGATCCCGCCGGTAACTCATGACGTGGGACCCTAAAACACTCACAAAGGAGAAAACAGAAAGTGTTCCTGACCTTGCCGAGACACAGGGACACCATTATAGGATTGAAAATCAACTATAACTCTGCATGACATGGCTTGATCTGCTCTGTTCAGAGATGCTAGAGTCACCTCTGGAAAAATTCCCTGTCTTTGTACGATCTCAAAGCTGCACAGTTATGAGGCTGTCGGGCGACCCCATTTTAAGGCCCGCAAGGTCGGCCCTCCACAGTACAGTGCATGAGCGGGGTAACGCCACGTAAGCCGTGAGGTGAGCTCCCCTGGGATGCTGCAAAGAGCCGTCTGCAAGCAGGGACGGTGTTCAACACGGACATTCGGCTGCGAGACAGCATGAGCAAGGTAGAGCAGTCCGACTTCCAAGGCATGAGGATCAAGCATTGCGACTGAAAAACCCTCGACTAACTTGTTGGACGGTAGCTCGGTAGCGCGCGCGTGAGAAAGAGTCCTGCTAAGATTCGAAGGCCGTGAGAAAACAGGCAGCCAGTTTGCAGGCCGTTGCGTAAGAGATCTAAATGGCGGGCTACACACGACCGGAACCGTGCTGGCGCCTCCAATAAGCGGCGCTCGCAATCCTGACTGTGAGTTTTAGAGAACCTTAGGTGTAGTTGTGAACGGTAGGAGTAGGGAAAAGTTGTCTGTCTGTCGGTCGCTGCGCTCACGCTTCCTGTCTCACCTTGCGGTGAAAGTGATCATTACCAGAAGCGTGTCCAACCGGAGTTTTCCTCACGAGTTTTCACGAACAACGGTGTTTCCCTGAAGCATGATGAACATCAGAGTGTTTTCAGTTTGTTTGCTGTGAGAACGGACTTCTAGACGAAGTCCGGGGAGCACCTGGGCCATAGAACAGAGTTACCAGTGCAGAGAAGCCGTTAGGAGTCCTTAGGACTTACCGCGGAAGTGAGTGTGCTGAAGTCTCTGTCTGCGCCCCGTTTCACTTTGGCTCAAGACTTGCACTGCGTGACAAGCGCGTGGTGAACAGTTGGTTGCGACGAAAGGTGTAAAAGTGCTGTTAGCTTTCACTGCTGTAGCCTTGCGTGACGTAGTCAGTCAGTCGGCTTGCACCTCCTTTTACTAAACCTAGAAGTGTGCCTCAAGGCGCGTTTGGGTTTTAACGTGGTAGCGGAGCTCAAGGTTGCTCCTCAGAGCCATGGACCCACGAGCCGAGCCTAGCCGCGACCGTTCCCCAAGAGGACGGAGTTCAGGGCGAAGTGCTAGTCGTGCCAGTGGAGTTTCTTCTGGCTTTCCCTCAACCCCTCGAGAGTTGAGTGCGCCTGGCTCGCGGACTCGTGGAAGGTCCCTCCCTGCTCGGAACAGTCCGACAGCACACCGGCCTGTGAGTAGACCCAGACCTCTTGCGAGTGCAGGTCAAGTGCCTCAGGTGCCTTTTGCACAGGTGCCTCAGCAAGTTCCTTTGCAGCAGGGTTTTCAGCAGCAGCAACAGCCTCATTTTGGACCGCAACCAGCCTTCCCTCACGGAGGAGGGATTCCGCAGCAGGTAACTGTGCCTAGTCCAGAAGACAACACTGTCAACCTTTTTAGGCAGATGTTGCAAGCCCAGGATGAACAGATCCGAGCTCAGCAGGGCCAGATTTCGCAGCTCACCGAGATGGTGAAGACGCTCGCCGTTGCGAGTGCGAATGCTGCAAGTTCGGCCGCAAGTGCAGCACCCGTTGCTGCGAGTTCGTCCCAAGAGACGCCTGCTGCAGCTCTGGGCTCCTTCAGAGTTGACTCTGATGGTGTTGTGAAGATGGATGTGGACACAGGCTTGCGCAGCAACAGGGCGGAAAACTACATTCCGTCCCTGCCAAAGTTGGCAGCAGACAAGATGAGATCGCGCCATGAGGAAATCTCCACGTGGACCGCTTACCGCGAAGAACTGACCTCCTGGCTGTGTCTTTTAGACGACCGCTACGCGGAGGAACTGCAAGAGGCTGTGGAGAGCGGTGTTCAGGTTCAGCAGATCAGCCTCTCAAAGGGGAAGGCCGCTCGTTCCACTAAGCTGTGGTACCTCTTGAAGCAGGCTCTCGCTGGTTTTCAGCGAGGAGTTGACATAGCCAAGCTTGTCGAGTTGAGTCAAGGCGGTGCCGCTGCAGGGTACGACCTCTGGCGTGAGTTGAACAAAGAACTGTCTGTTAGGTCTCGTGTGGAGGGACAGGCGCTCAGAGAGCAGGCTCTCTTGATCGCGCCACCAAAGCACTTGAGACGGCCATTGGATATTTTTCGCCATATGATTTCTGATTTTGCTCGCTACCGCACGCTCGTTGCCAACAAGTACCCAGACCTTGAACTGCAGCAGGCTGATGTTATCAGCTGCATCTTGAAGCACCTTCATGATGATTGCAAGAAGTACCTTTTGTTGCATGGGTCTTTGACAACCTTGGAGCAGCTTGAGCGCGGTTTGGTTTTCTATGATGAGCAGCTTCGTGTTTTGAACTTTCACAAGGAAGCCTCGAACGCCAAGGGCTTTGCAGCTTTTGGTGCTGATCGTTCTGAGAAGGGTGAGCCCAAGGGTGGCGAGCCCAAAGGAAAAGGTCACGGGAAGGACCAAGGCAAGCATGGTGATAAAGGCAAAGGCAAGGACAAAGGAGGAAAGGGAAAGGACAAAGGCAAGGGTGGCAAGAAGGGCGGAAGGGCCCGATCTTCGACGCCGGCTCCTGGGAAGAAGAAGCCGGGCACCTGCAATTACTGCCACAAGCCGGGCCATTGGGCCAACGAGTGCAGGAAGAGGATTGCCGATGAGAAGGCTGCTGCGACAGCAGCGGCGGCAACAGAGAGTGCCGCTCCCAAGGTGGCCCCTCCTGCACCTTCCTCGACTGCGGCGCCAGCTCCCACTGCTCCAAAGGGTGCCGGGAAGATTGGCAAAGCGGCCCTCCTTATGTCGTCACTGTTGCCCGCGGCAGGGCAGATTTCTGAAGCAATGCCTGAGAGGGGACAGTTTTTCACCATGACTGCCTTGATTTTCACGTTTTTCATGTTTTGCATGGTAGGATGCTTGATTTGTCGGTTGGTTGCATGCTTGAGTAGCCCACGGCAGCTTGAGTTCACGTATGCTTGCGTAGCCGTAGCAGTGATTGCTTTGAGCCTTGCTTCCGCGCCGCAGCCTCAGCTTCGGGATCGGTCTTCAGAGTGCCTTGCTTTTCCAACTTTGGCACTTCCTGCAGTCACTAGGGACGACCCCTCGTATCTCTTGATTGATAGCGGTGGGAGTGTTCACCTTGTTTCGCAAGACATGCTTGGAGTGACTGCGAAGCTGATCCGAGAGCTTGAGGTTGAGCCTCTCTTTGTAAGTGTCGCCAACGACCAGACTATGGAGATAACTAGGTATGGGTTGCTAGAGCTTTGGTTCCCTTGTTTCGAAGCGGGGCCCTCTGGAACCCAAACTTACAGAGAGATTCGAGTGCAGCTGGAAGCGTATATTGCTCCCAATTCGATAAGCATCCTTAGCTCAGGCATCTTGCAGTCCTTAGGCTTTAGGATCTTTCATTATGACTATGATCCTCAGTTACACGTAGCCTATCCTCCGGGTGGTCTGCGCTTTGAGACAGAATTGTACGCCAACACGTCGTGGTT